TCCAGCCCGACTTGAACCGTTGACCTAGTCTGTGGGGGGTTAGCAGCTTTACCGTTAAGCTATAGGGCCCAACCCCCGCTATTAAAATTGTTTATTAGCTGTTATCATAAAATGCCACATCTTAATAAAAGAAAACAGCAAATAAGCATGTTGTCCAGAAAACAAGGTTGTTATATTTCATAAGGAATTATACAAAAAGTAGAAATAATAAATGAAGAAATACTACAAATAGAAGTAGTAGAAAATGAAGTTATACGAGAGATCCCTATAAAGCAAAAAGAGTATGCTAAACTAAAATATAAGAGATCATTATATACTGGAATATCAAGAATGACCATCTGGAGAAAAAAACAAAAAGCTGATACATTATTAAATATAGAAGCATCATCCGATTTGTCTCACCTGTTTCCAGCTGTTAATATTATAAAACGATTACAATTATTACAACCACTTTCAGCAACACTGTTAGCCAACACTTTATCATTAGTATCATGATCATCTTCATCAAAATTGCCTATAGAAATTACAGAACAAATGTCCTCTCAAATGGCTATATGTGATTCACTATCTATTAATAAAGAAAAATTAGAAATGTGTTTAAATGAAATTAATCAAACATGTACAATAGTAAAATCTTCAAAAATTAACATACCTATATATAATCATTTGCATCTTTTAAGCATTAATAGATACATTAAATTGTTGCTAAATGGGCAAGGCAAGATGAATTCAAGCATTCATCTTGCATAAACTATTTGGAATAAAGAAAACAGTATGGCAAAACACATTAGAAAATGGAGAAATCATTATATAGGTAAGAATATAATAAAATGAACTTTTTGACATTTTTCAATTCATAATTTCATAAACTGTATTTCAAATAATTTTGATTAAATATTAATATTAATTAAAATTCTCTTATTGCTTTATACCTATTTATATAGAAACAGGTGAACTTCTTGTTGATCATCAAGGAAAGCACACTAAGTTAAAAAGTTTAATTTAAAATAAAGATTTTTCAGATAATTGTCAAGCTTGGTTACATAATTAAAAACCTAAGTCATGTTTTTCTGGTGCCTTAAAGACGTATATTGAAAGTATAGTGCTTTCTCAAATGACAGAACAAATAAAAAAAAATACTATTTCTGAAAGAACATGTTGAACCTATATGCATTTATGGGGGTTTAGATATGATGAAAAAAGAAAAGATGTTTATTATGATGGACATGAAAGATCAGACATAGTGATTTATAGAAGAGAATGGCTTAATAGAATGCTTACTTATAAGAAATATATGAAAAGTTTTGAAAGTGATAGATTAGAAATCATGTTAGAACCTAAGCTTGAACTCAACAAAAAAAAATTAGTACTGGTATAGTTATATGCATATACGTATAATTGCTATTCTATATATAATTAAGGGAACACCTATTTTCATTATAGAAATTTGCTATTTTCACTATGCTTTTCATATGACTTCAGCTATATTGTAATAGGATTTATTTTTTTTCCTATATTAGTATATATTTATTTTTAGCTCTATATTATATTTTATAATTTTCCTAATATTTTTA